GCGTGCTGGGTGTTTTTTATATATGTATATGTGTGTGTGTGTGTGTGTGTGTGTGTGTGTGTGTGAAAACTGATTTGGAAAAGTGTTATTTATATTTAGTATCCTTTTTGCTTTTCAGTCTTTCAAATACCAAAATTTGCACTAAACTTTATATTTTTGTCTATCTGATTTTCTCATTTTGAAACATTAAATCAGATGTTATGATCAGTTACTCAGTACTCAAGCAGCCTTTTTTACTAAATACTTTTTACTTTTACTTGAGTAAAACTATGTTGAGGTAGTGGTACTTGAGTACATTTTCTGGCTGCTCTGCCCTCCTGTGGTGGAGTCTAACAGGCGCACTGATGCAGGCAGCTGTGGCTGAGAGCCTGCTGCTTGGTCTCACCTCCACTCCACTGCTTACTGCATTCACTAAACTGGATCTCTCTCTCTCTCTCTCTCTCTGTGTGTGTGTGTGTGTGTGTGTTGTAGAACATTGTTAATGGAATTATCTGAGTCTTTGATTTTATTTATTTTCTGCTGTGTTTTACTTGCATCTATTTGAAGGAGGGTAAACACAAAACTTGATTTTATTTTATATGCTGAATATGCAGGAAATAGGTTTAAATATTAAACACATTTCTTCAAGTCAAAGACTGTTGCATATAATTAAATTTTTGCTTGATGCATAAAGTTAAAAGATTAAATTGAATAAAACAATTTTAACTCATTCACTGCCATTGACGTCTATAGCCGTCAATGGCAGTGAATGAGTCAATGGGTTTAACTCATTCACTGCCAATGGCTGGCAGTGAATGAGTTAAAAAAAAGAGACTTTTTTAATTGATTCAATTTCATATGATGGGTTATGCAGAAAAAGTAGAATTGGGCTGAAAGGTCTGTTGCTTTTTTACATATTCAAGTTGTGTATGATGTTTTTAAAAAGTAACTAATTATTTTTGAAAATAAGTAATAAGTTAAGTAATGGGATTACTTTCTTGGAGAAGTTATCAGTAATTAGTTACTAATTACTTTTTTCAAGTAACTCAGATTATGATTATGACCCATGATTATGACAGAGAGCCCAGGGATCGAACCGGCGACCCTCCGGTTGCAGATGCGATTCCCAATCCCCTGAGCCACGGTCGCCCCAAGTTCCCAAGGTTGTGTGATTAACTGACAAAAGTCTTTTACACATGAAGAAATAGAGCAGCTCAGTATTTTGTTTCCATCAATAATGCCATTTAGACTTTAATAAAAGCAGATATTGTGCTTCGCTGTTTACCTGTTTGATGTTGAGAGAGAATAAGTTCTTTTTGTCACTGAAAAACTTTTCAAGGAGCTTTTTTGTGAAAAAACACAATTTAGATATCATCCTGTTGTTATGCACAACCAAAGGATGCCAACCTTGAGCAAAAGAAATAACATCCTGTAAGCAGATTTCTATATGAGGGAGCTTGTTGTCAATCAGGAACATTTATTAGCTTCAACTGAAGCATTTA